ATCTGTAGATTGCTTTGGAAAGTGCTGCCATCTTAACAATATTAAGTGTTCCAATCTATAAAGATGGGACACATTTCCATTTATTTGTGTTTTAGTATCTTACAGTAATGTTTTTCAGTTTTCACCATATAATTTTTATTTCTTTGGTTAGATTTTTTTTTTGGTACTGGGGATCGAACTCGGGACCTTGCACTTGCAAGGCAGGCAGTGGAACCACTGATTCTTGAGTTAAATTTATTCTTGAGGTATTTTTATTCTTCTAGATGCTATTGTAGCTAGAATTCTTTTCTTGATTTTCTTTACAGATTGCTCATTGCTGGTATATTTTGTGTCTTGTGGTATCTCGAAACTTCACTTAATTCACTTGGTATCTCTAGTTTTGAGGGGGAAGCGATTTTCTATAAATAAGATCATGTAATCTGCAAACAGATAGTTTTACTCCTTCCAATTTTTGTTGCTTTCCTTTTCTTGCCTTATTGTTCTGGGAAGAACTTTAACAATAGGATTTTAACAATCTTCTATATCCTTCAGTATTTTACTTTCAATGTAAAACAATATAATAGCTAAATGTATAGGATATGGTATGATTCATAAAACACTTTTGTCAAAACTATGTTAGGCTCTTTATGTACATTATGCCACATAAATTTATGACAACTATAGGTGGATGTGGTGGTGCATGCCTATAATCCCAAGACTCAGGAGGCTGAGGCAGGAGGGTTGCTGTGAGTTCGAGACCAGACGGGGCTACATAATGAGTTCAAAGCCAGCCTGAACTACATAAGGAGACCCTGACTGGGGGGGGGGGCTTATGACAACTGCATGAGGTAGAATATACCATTAGCTTGCTGTTATTCATGAAAAATTTAAAACCTGAAAAGGTTAAGTAATTGTTCCAAGTCCTTCAGGTATTAAGAGGTGAGGCAAGATCTGAACCCGGGTAGTTTGAGGCAAGAGACACACTTTTTACTGCTGTGTGTTGTTCCTCTCATTTGGGTTTCATGATTTTCTCATTCATTCAGTAAACATTCACTGAGTCCCTACATGTATCAGGGCCTGTGTTATCCCTGTCTTTGGGAGTTTACACTCTGCTCTTAGTTTACTCTCCTCTCTTGTTCTTTGGCATTCTTCTCATTCTCTGCTCTTGGAATGTTGGCTTCTCGGAATATAGGATGGTGGTAGTGCTTCTGCTCCTGATGTGCTTCTGCAACCCCCGCTTGGAAGTCTTGGCCTCACTCCTAGATGTTCATACTGCAGTTTTTCACAGCTGGCCTGACCTCCTGCCTGAATTCCACACTATATTTCCAGCTCTCACAGGCATTCCTGGCTGCCCTGCCAACATCTCCACCACCTGGCCTCCTTGTTGGGCCCTTTCTGATTGAGTCACACAACTTCAAGGACTCAGCCCCAATCTCACTGCCAATCTCAGATAGTTGTGTGGTGTAATATCTTTCATATCTGTGAGGGGTCCATCTCACATGCAAGAAAGGAAGAGCTGAAAGTTTGTAACAGCTATGACAATGGCATTTATCTTAGCATTTATTATCTCCAGTAAACTCTGCTTCTAACTCAATCCCTTATTGCCTCTTTAGGTGTTACCTCTCAGCATGCTTTCCTACAGAGGGAGGGAGTGGAGGTGTACAGCTCCATGCAGCTTCTGTTTTTCACACACACTTCATCCTTCTTCAAGGAAATTATTCTCAAGTTTCATCTCAGGATCGTATCATTATGTCTCTGTAGAGAATAAATGTGGTCTCAGGATGGGAGAGAGGGAAGCAAAGGGGATGAAAAAAGAATTAGGACGTGTTATGCACGTGCCATCTCCCTACTATGAATGTAATCATGTGTACTCTAAACATGAACTAAGCAAAATAAAAATAAGAAATGGAGTTTGCCCAAGACTCAGGAGCTGACGCAGAAACCACCTGCCAGTACATCCAGCACCTGGGGGCCATCTGTGTTTCCATGAGGCAGATGTTTCTCTGACACTCTAACACAGCTTTTATGTTCCAGTGTCAGATGAACATTTTGGAAAAACTTTCATCTTAGGCATGTTTTTATTAATTTTGGGCAATAATCCCATGAAAAAAAGGTTATATGAGAGGGGTGAGAAAACCAAATTCTGAAATAATTTGGCTATGGAATACAACAATAAGAAAAACATATTTAAAAATTCATCATTTGTCTGCATTGCCAATCCTTCCAGCTGATGAAATTCCAGGAGCTTGTAATGACTTAAAGCTGCATTTACCCGAAGATCCCAGCAACGTTACTATCTTAAAAATAATTATGTACAGAGATGGATAAGAAAACAGTTACTGAGCCAGGGATTTAGCTCAGTGGTTCTGCCATCTGCCTCGCAAGTGCAAGGTCCCAAGTTCAATCCTCGGTACCAAAAAAGAAAAAAAAAAAGAAAACAGTTACTAAGCAGTGTTGCTTTTCAGTCACCAACAATTTTCCTACCAAATTTGTGGTCTGTACTGTATATCAATGCATGCAGAATGGATTTCTGTGCACCCAAAACAACACAGGCTTAAAGCACAGAAGATGGGAAATTTAATAGGGAATATTTATGTCATGCAGACAAATGAAATGGTTATAACTGCTTTATTGTGTGGTCATGACTTTGCTCAGAATTTGACTTCTTCCCCTCTCCTATAGCCTTTTAAAATCATGAGAATAGTGGTTTTCAGTATTTTTGGCTTTCTGGATTTCAACATTCAAGCAAAAGTTAAATAGATATTGCTGCCTTCCCAGCTTCCAGAACCATGAACCAAAATAAACCTTTTGCCCTTTATAAATTACTCAGTCTCTGGCATTTTCTTATAGCAAGGGGAAAGAGACTAAAATACCTCTTTCATCATAAAAAATAAGTATTGTTTGTATATATGGAGGCTATTAATAACTGTACGTGTTACAATTCTGAGTTCCTCTTATTATTTATGGTAGTTCTGAGTAGATTACTATGAGTTTTCCAGGTACACAATCATACATTTGTAAATCTTAATTTTATATTCTCCTTTCCAACTTTCATACCACTGATTTCTTTTTCTTGCACAATGCCTCTAGTAGTGTAATGAGTTGTGATCATAGAACTTAACATGACTTCAGTGCTAACACTTTCAGTATTTCTCTACAAGATGGGGGTTGGATTTTGGACTGAAATGTGTACATATTTGTTTTTGTTTTTACTTTAATCATGTTCAAGAAGTATCTATGGAATCTATTTTATTGAATGTTTCTAACAAAAGTGATTGTGAATTTTGTCAAGTGTTCTTTTGGTGCCCTTAAAAATGACCCTATCACTTTTACTCTTACATCTAATATAAAGATAAATGACATTAATTGGTTTCCTCATACTCAACTATCTTGATTATGTTATTTCTTTACCAAGCCTCTAGAGTCCTTCTGTTACTATTTTATTATTTAAGAATTTTATGATAAATAGGACTGATCTGCAGGGCTTTATATTTGTCTGTTTTTGTGGTACTGGGGATTGAATCTAGGGTTTTCTCACGGAGCTACATCCTCAGCCCATTTTAAAATTTTGAGATAGGGTCTTGCTAAGTTGTTACACTGGGGTTGAACATGTGATCCTCCTGCTTCCACCTCTCAGAGTGCTGGGATTACAGACATCTGCCACAGGCTCAGCTTGATCTACGGTTTTATTTTTTGTATGTCTTTGTTAGGTTTTGATATTAATGTTATGCTCATGTCACTTTTCATGTCCCTGGACAAAATACTCAATACTCACAACTTCAAAGAGGAGAGGTATATTTTGGCCTACATTTTTAAGAGGTTTCAACCCAGTCATTTGGCTTGAGGGCCAAAGTGGCACGAGCAAAGGGTCTGCCATGTAGGAAAGCTGTTCACATCATGGTAGTCGGGAAGCAGAGAGGAAAAGGAGAAATTGAGGGAGGGAGATGTACCCTACCATGTCATGTGCCGGTGACCTGCCTCTTCTATCAGATCCCACTTCCTGCCATCACATTTAGCTGTAGCACCCCTGTGATTCAATCACCTTCCAAAAGCTCCACCCATGAGTGTATGAGGCTCTTGGGGGACATCTAGACATACAACATAACTCACTTCGTATGGTCAGTTTGAAATTTTTCTTTCTTATATGCCCGGGGACAGCTTAAATAGTGTAAAAATTATCTGTTTTTCAAAAGTTTAGTGAAATTCTTCAATGAAACTCTCATGACTTGGTATCTTGAAGCTCAATGGTAGAGTTCTTGCCTACTATGCATGAGGCCCTGGGTTTGATACCCAGCATTGAAAAAAAAAATCTAATTTGAGAACTGAACAAGGGTTACAATATGTATTGAGAAAACTTTTTGTTCTGTATCTAACTAGTACATTTTTACCATTTAAAAATTTTTATTGCTTCCTCATTCTTTTATGAAATTCAAATTTCAGCTGGTAGAAGAGCTTTATTGTAATCAAACAAAAGCAGAGGTTCAGTTTCTTGTCTTCTTGGAAATGCTGCCATTTGATGGCTTCCTAAGTAATTATCTTCAACACCCACTCTTTTTAGTGATGGGTACAGGCTGCGACCATGGAGTGTTTGATAAATCTCAAGCTGGAATCCATCATTCTCTGATTAGGAACAGAACTGCCAAATTATTATACTGCCTTTCTATGAGGCTCTATGCTAGACATTGAGGAATTACCATTTAACCAAAGCAATATCCCTGTTCTTAATGAGCTTCTGGTGTTTTACATTTCATCTTTACTTGCAAAGAACCACTCACCTTTTAGACTTTTAAGGTCCTGTCTTCTTTATTTAATAATGAGTTGCTTGCTATCATACATAGTAGGTGCTCAGTGATGGATCTGTGTTCAATCCCAGATCCATGGTGATCTAAAATTTTAGGAAGGGAAGTTAATTTAACCAAAAGTCTGCTCCACAGATTATGGATTAGTAGGGAAGAATTTTAATGATCAGGGGGAACAGAATTGAAGAAAATCTATACTTTGATATTTTGTTATATCCACAGGTCTCTGGTCCGGATTGATAGTTTGTGTCTTCTTTCAAGCCCTTTTCTATTTGGTGTGTATCCTGAGAACAAACTGGAACAGAGCTGCAGAGCAGGTAACAGTGTATGTGCTGATTTTAAAATGTGGCTCTACTTGATTCCATGGCATGCTAAGGAACCTTTTAGAGTCAAAGCGATACGATGCTCCTAGCACCAAGACTCACAGTGCACCATGAAATATATCTGATATACCAGGCAGTGAGATGAGAACATGTAAGTCTCAGTTTAGCACATTTTTCTGTTAATTTCAGCTAATTTGCTATCTGTTAACCTGGAATCCACCCTTTAAAAAATGTTCACTTAAACATATTTTCCTGTTTGATACAGTAATCTTGGAAAAATAGTTTCTTATTTATAGTGATTACCTCTTTTTTAGGTTTATTTTAAAAAATATTTTTATCCATTCTTTAGTGAAATGCAATGTTAAGTATGTGTGATCTATGGGAAGTACTTTGGGGGCAGAACATGTGGGTGGAGAGTCAGGATCCTGACCCTGATGAGCATCTGTGGATTGAACTGTAAACTTTATTTACGGTGAGGTGAAATGAGATGTATGGAGGGATTCTTAACAAGGGGACACAAGGATGAGTTTAGGTGTATCGCTGTTTTGTCCAAGCTTTGACCGCCCTTCATATTTCAAATCCATTTGGATTTGCCTAGTAGTAATGTATTGTATCTTCCTTAAGTTCAATTTGTTTTATTGAGGGAATAGAGTGAACAGGACATTAAGTTTGATTATAAAGTAACCAGTAGGTGGTGACACCATTTATCTTTAGATTTTATTCCATTTATCTGTGTTTAAGAACACTAAAAGGGCATAGGTACAAGTAGTATGGTGAATCTGCTACAATAGCCACAAGCAGTTTTTGTGAGCTGAGCATCAGAGGGGGAAGATCAATAGGTTTTTGGTGCTTTGTTCTTGTGGTATGGCATTTTTAGAAATGTGAAAGGCTGTGCTAAATATTATAACCCTTCAAGAGTATTTTTAGAAGTAGCCATAAGTTGAAATTTAAAGAAAAATTATTATTTTGGCTTGATTTACACTTCATGTACTCATGTGACCTTGTTTTTAGGCACAGGTTCGAGCTGGGCTAAAAGGCAATAAAGACACCATACTGACCCCAACAGGTATTGGAGGCTATTCTTTTATATAGTTTAACATAATGTGGCCAGAATTTTATGGTCATTTTCTATAATATAGTCTCATTTAAATTTCAGTAATATAATTTTACTTGATTTAGTACTACTAAGTGCCTTACTGTTTTCTTCAAACAGATCTACCGAACCTGGAAAGAGAAGTAACTGATGGCATGATTTTACCTGATATTGTCAGACCAGAGAGTCAGACTGTCCAGCTGATGGTACTAGAAGAAAACCAATATGTGGTTCCTACCATTGGAGAGATTTTGACAGTGAGACAGTTGATTTTCTATCGTGGAACAGCATTAGCTGTTGCTACTGCTATCCTTGTGGTAGGAATTTTAGTAAGAGTTTTCAGTGGCCATAAGTAAAATAGAAAAATCATCACCAGTGTACAAATTAGCAATAATTTTATGCTCTATATTAGGCATGAAAAATGGTCCTGTTATCTGGACGGTGGTTTCATTATCAACCGTGGGAGGAAAGGATATCAACTTAGTTGTTCTGAGAAATTACTCACTGTACTAGAGATGAAGAACAGAGCTGTAGTTTTGGCAGGGTCAAACCCAGGTCTTTGTACACCCTAAACATGCACTCTCCATAGCACTGAACTACACTCTCAGCCCCAAGGGTCGTTAAGTTTAGTATACTTTTCTCTGTTAACTTTATTATGCTTTCTAAATATAGACATTTGATATTCCCTACTGTCATATAAAATATTATTACTTGTTTGTATTTCTCTGTTAACGTACTTTGTCTCAGAAGGGAGTACATATTAAGTGCCTAATAAGTCTTATGTCATATAAGCTTTTATTAAAACAAACACTTTAAAATTTAAAATGTATGCTGACAGTATTTGATACTACAATGTCAATGTAAAGAAAATCACTTACTTTTTTTGTCTTGTAACTAACTTCTGTGTCAACTTTTTTTTTAATCAAAATAGTTTATTAACTTTTCAAAATATAAACAAGGGGAAGAAAAATGACTAAATGGTAGCATTGTTTTTCAAAATAAAATTGCAACTAATATGCAGATCTCCAGGCTTGAATCTCCATAAATAATTTCGAGGTGGTAGATTGTAATATTTCATATGCCACTGATTATCTATGTCTTTTGTTAAAAACACAATGGAACTTGCAATATGCAAGTTTGTATGAAGACCTGCTACACTGTGAGAAAGTGTTGCTGGGCTGGAAGGGCTTTGTTACAGGCAAGATTCCTAGGATTATATTTGAGATGGCAGAGAAATAGATTTCACAGGGCAAGAACACTAATTGGTATTAATATTTCACATTTAGGTAACATTGTTGTGAACCCCCTCAAGTCACTTAATCTCCGCCCTTTAATGCCTTCACCAATGTTCCTACAGTTCATCTACGTTCTCTCTTAAATAGGAGGACTTGAAATGGGACACCTGGAGCCAGGTTAACATGCAGGGCAGACTTTAAAAGAAACTTTCTGTTATCACTTGCTGCTATTGGGATCCAATTCCCTCCCCCCCTTTTTTTGGTACCAGGGATCGAACTTAAGACCTTGGGCTTACAGTACCACTGAGCTAAATCCCCAGCCCCCAATTTCTTTTTATTACATGTGAATTAATACTGCTTTTAATAAGCTTCCTTTACCAAATCTAGAGAAACGAAATTTAGGTGATCAAAGCAGACAGTGCACAGCCCTCAAACAACTATTTAAAAACAGGAGGGGAATTCTGTGGCAATACAAAGTATCCCAAAAGTGTCAGTGTAATCCCAAGCCTTGATACCAGTACAAGTACAGAAGCTACAATATTATAAAACATCATCCGAAAGTTTCAATTTTTAAAATGTGGAATATCAAGCTTTGAATTGCAATTCTTGTTCCAGTTCCTCTTTCTTCTATTCCCTTTAAGAGACACTAGGAAAAAAATAAGAATAAAAGCTTACTATTCCAAACTTGCAAAACCGAAACTTTCAAATGATGTTCCACAAAAGTTTGTAGCCTCTATACCTGCTTCAGTGCCCTGGGAGGCAGCAGCACTGTAGGGTAAGGCTTAAAACTACACTGAAACCCTTGGGACACCTTGTATTTTACTATCTGCTTGTTATCACTGGACCACCATGTTGGTTTACATTATGAAAATATCTTCTATTGTGTTTATTTAACAAGGGGAAAGTCATCAGAAAATGTGAAGGACCAGTAAGAGTTCACAAGATGCGGCATGGACCCAATAGAAGTAGACAATGGATAACTGAGGCTTTCTCTTTATGACCACAAATATGCCACAATGGTACTAAGTAGTGCTTGCAGAGAACATGAGTGGCAAGTGTTCTCCAGCAGCTTTTCTGTGTAAACTCACTGACAATAATGACTAGCAACTCAATGATACCACGGGAAGGAAGAACCTTCAATACCTGACAATGCTACAGTCTACTCCTCAGTGGCTTCATGAGTATGAACATGCCCATGTTTGGGACTGGGTGGATGGCTCAGTGGTAGACACTCTCCCCAGGTTATGGCTAAGATCCTGGCTTTTATTCCCAGCACCATGCAATAAAAAAGATTCCCATATTTTAATGGTAATATTGCCACAATCCTAAAGGCATATGTAGCAATATGGGGGCAGAACAATTGTATGAGTACTATTTTTAAATCTAATTTTTAAAAATTAATAAAAATTTTAAAGTTGTTTAAACTAAAATGCTTAATTCAAAAACCTCCCAGAGCTCACAGGCATTGGCCTGCGAAGTAAGCAAATGTCTCTGTGTCTGCTGGGAGCTTCTGCTTTGCAGTACTTGCAACTCTGCTCACATCAATGAGGACAGGAAGTGTGTTGCTGCTTTGACAAGGTCTCTTTCTTTCTCAAGCAGGGCAACTGTCACTGTCCAGGAGTTGCTTGAATTCAAGGTCTTTCCTTTTGGTGAAAATACTAACTTTTCTTTCTTTCTTTCTTTTCTTTTTTTTGGCAATAGAGGTGGTATTTCTCTAGCTTTTGTAAATGAGGGGTTCATGATGTCTTAGGTCCCATTTCTCCCTTTTAAGAGAGGATGATATTAAACAAAAAAAAACCCCAACAAAATTGCCATCACTGGACGATCTTCTCACAGCTGCTCTGCACAAGTCTTTGTCTTCACACAATCCTAACATGACCTCTAGGTCTTGCAGTCTTTCTTTGGTCAGAGGCACGGGCACGCCACACATGTCACTGTCATATGCTAAAGAATGAAGGTCAAAGTAGTATTTGGCATAAACACCGACAGGTACTTTAACATTAAACTTAATCAGGTCCAAGTAATGCCTGTCCAACTCATTATCTCCTCAAGTGTAACATCCTTGAAGATCTGGCAGAACTACATATTCTCATCATCCCAATCCTTGCAGGCAAGAAGAATGGCTCCCAGGACAATCCTTGTCCTCAGCATATGACAAAAGCCTTTCTAAGAAGACCAAGGTTATTGTGCATTTAGTTGGTAACCATGTGGCATTAAAAATACTAGCAATAAATCTGTGTTTAGGATCATGCTCAAAGTATTCCCCTGGAAGCTTTTCTCTTGTGAGTGGATGCAATTGCTTATCAAAAATATCCAGGAATCTGTTTGCATCTCTGCTCTTTATGAGGTAATATACTGCTATGTTCATACATTCTACTGTTTTTCTACAACTAGGCTGGCTGAGTGTGCTGTCATCTAGAAATATTGTTGAGAAGGAGCTATACTTCCTAGTAAGCTGCCCTGGAGATTCATGGATGAAGTTGTTGCATATCCTCTGACCATCCAAATATGCTTGACATTTGTTCAGGAAAATTGTGCTTGCCCTTGGATGGTCACAAGGGCTTGATTCCAAAGCTGCACTGCTATAAGCCAAATTGTAAGGTATTTCTTGAGTTAAACTGAAGAAAAATTCCAGGCCCCCATATAATTAAATCCAGCTGACTGCCTGGTCAGGGCTTCTCAGGACTGGATGTTGGTTGAATTGAGGATTCGAGAAGTAGCGTCAGATTCCCAATGCTTTGAAAGTTCTCATGCTGTGTGTCAACTTTTATACTAATTAAAAAATAAATCTATGTTTTTTGGCTATTCAGCTCCCACAATGCTGACAGCTGTGGTTTTACCCTCAGGTAGGAGATTTTTAGACCCTTTTCTAGAGACTCTGACTAAACCAAAAAGAAAATCCTAAGTATATTCTAATATCAGATAACCTCACACAAAGTGCAGCAGGCATCTGGAGAGGAGTTTACAGGTCAAAACCCCACTGCATCAGTCAGCTTTTTGTTACCATAACAAATATCTGAAATAATATATACAGAGAAAGGTCTATTTTGGCTCACAGTTTTCATAGTTTATATCCATGGTTGCTTAGCCCCATTACTTTTGGGCCTGTAGCACATCATGGTGGAGAATGTGTGGTGGAGCAAAGCTTCTCACCTCATAATTTGGGAACAAAGAAAAGAAGAGAAAGGACTAGAGTCTCACTATCTCCTTCAAAGACACACCTCTAAAGACTGAAGACCTCCCACAAGACCCTACCTCATGAAAGTTCCAACACTTCCCAGCAGAGCTATCAGCTGGGGACCATCCTTTAACATATGGGCCTTTAGAGAACATTCTAGACCCAAACTATAATACCCAGGTGGCCATCACTTCCCTTAGCTTATTTGTTTCCCTCTCTTGAAGATGAACAAGCAATTTAGGATCATCAGCTATCTCTAAAAAGCTAATTATATGAAAAAGCAACTAGAAAAAACAGCTCACTTACAGGAACAAAATGCCTATCCTCAAAGAGGTAATATAAAATATTACGACCATCATGTAGCATAGGATACTATAGAATAAAACATTCAGAAAAAATTAAGGTAAAATTTATATAACATAAAACCAGTCATTTTCAACTGTGCAATTCAGCAGCATTTGGTACAATTGAGCAACCACCCATGTGGTTACAAAACATTTTCATCACCCAAAACAACCCCCACGTGTTAAGCTGGCCCTCCTCAAGCCCCTTTCCCCTCAACCACTGACAAGCACGATGTCTGGGTCTATAGATTTACTTATTTTGTGTATTTCATGTTGGAAGAATTTTTGAGAATCACCTATGTAGTAGAATATGTGGGAACTTGTTTCCTTTTTTACAGTCAAATGGTATTTCATTGTATGATATGCTTCATTTTGTTCATGTATTTTTCAGTTGATAGAAATGTTCATTGTTTCCATCTTTTGGGTATAGTTTTCAATGTACAAGCCTTGATGTTTTCTTTCCTTTGTGGATCATTCATTGCTAATGTATAGAAATGCAACTGCTTTTGTGTGTTGTGTTTTGTATGTGGATTTGTGGGTTTGTTTACTAGGTCTGACAGTTTTGTGGACTCAGAAGAGTTTTCTACAAACAATATCTCAAATTTCCAACACTATTTTGGCAATTAAGCAAGAGAAGGAATAAAATGCATCCAAATTGGAAAGGAAAAAGTAAAATTACCTTCATTCACAGATGACATAATCTTATTTCAGTGGTATAAAGACAGACATACAGACCAATGGACAGAATTGGGAGCCCAGAAATGAAACACTGCTTATGGTATCAAATAACTTCACACACAGTTACAAGACCATTCAGTAGGAAGGAGGAAAGTCCAAGTTATTCATGTTCTATAGACAACCATTTGGCTTACTTCCAGCTGCAATGGATATTCTTGGACATGTACCATAGCATTTATGTGCACAATTTTCTCTAGGATCTAAAAACAGTAATGGAATTAATGAGTCATGGACTTTATCTTCCATTTTACTAATTAATATAAACCTGTTTTCCAAAATGGTTGTATAAATGTTTGTTCTAGCCAGGCATAAGAGCTCTTGTTATTCCACATCTGTGAGAACACTTGATATTGCTAGATTTTCTAATTTTTGGCAGAGTGGTGGCTGCCTTATTACTCAGATGCTTTTTTTTTTGGTACTGGGGATCGAACTCAGGACCTTGCACTTGTGAGGCAAGCAGCAGAATCACTGCGCTAAATCCCTGGCCCTTCATTTGCTTTTCTTAATTACAAAGGTAATGTATACTCATCATACATTTTCTTCTGTAGCTTTCCAATCTTTCTCTAAGAAAAAGCAAGGAACTAAGAATATATTTTTATTTCCTCTATTTCTTAAGCAACAGCATAGTTCATGTTGTGCATTATCTTGCTTTTTTCATTTAACAATATATGCTAGATATACTTCTCTATCAGTATAAAAGCTTTCCTATTTTATTTCATTGCCACATATTATTCCACTGTGGGACTATACCATAGTTTATGTAACCATTAACCAAAAGATAGACACTTGGACTTTTTCCAGTTTTTTTATTATAAATAGTACTGATATTATATATCTATTTGTTCATTGATTTTCTCATTATAATGACCCTTGATGATAAGATGTTTCCCCTTAGCCATTGGCATGTACCGTACCTCAGACCCTATAACAGCCTGACATACAGTAAGTGCCAATGAATATTTGTTGTATAAATGAATGAATAATACAACTTCAAACATTATATTCTCAGTGCCCTTATACTATTCACCTTTCCAGTTTTCTCCACTGCTCACAGTTTGTGTTATATTGGAAGGATTGAAGAAGATCCCTTTGGTGAAGCAAGAGCTGGAGAAATCTAACAAACTCTTGACTTCTCCTTTATGGACAGTAAAGTGCTACAGTGCTACAGTGAATAACCTTCTACATACTTTATTTCCCAGGTATTTCCTCTATGGGCAGATATATATATATCTTTAGGGATATAATTTTC